TGTGTTTAGTGCCGATGCAAAGACCCTATAAGTGAATCAATATTAACGCCAAAATATGCAATCTTTAATGACCTGACAACAGTATCGTAACTATATCCCTTCTTAATAAGTCTATTTAAAGGTTTTGTTAGCTTCAGAGGTGAATACTGACATTTTTGTGCTTTATAAAGAATATTTCCATAAAAAATTGGATGTGAAATACCTGAACGTATAAGAAGTCTGCATGTTGAGCTATATTTACGAATGATGTCCTTATACCGATGATAAAATTTAGTAAATGTTTTGACTAGTTTGTGATATCGAAAACCCTGGTGTAATAATTTTTCAGTAATACATAAATTTCTCTCGTTAAAATCTAAAACATTGTTACATACACGAGCGAATCGTACAAGTTGAGATATATAAACACCGTAAGATGGTGACAAGGGAACGTCACCATCTAAAAATGGATAATTAACGATAGGAAATGAAAAATCATCTCTTTTATCATATATTTTAGTATTAAGCTTTCCGCTAATGATATAGATATCAAGATCGAGGAAAGGGCAGTGGTCATTGTTAGTATTAGCTTTATTTAAAGTAAGTTCAACAGGATAAATTTCTTTAGTATACACACTGAAGTCGTTATTATTGAGAGCCAAAATATCATCCAAATATCTAAAAGTATTATTAAATTTGTGTATCAGATGTTGTTTCGATGGGTCTTTGCTGATTTTTGTCATAAATTGTAACTCATAGCAATACAAAAAAAGGTCCGCAATAAGTGGTGCACAGTTAGTCCCCATTGGAATTCCGATAACCTGACGATATACGGAATCTCCAAAGCGAACAAAAATGTTATCTAGTAAAAATTCAAGGACATATATAGTATCAAAGCATGTCCAATTGACATAGTTTTTTTGTTTATTGCTACTAAAAAATGACCTAAAAGAGTTTGAACATATATATTCACATTCTGACTTTTTAAATGCCCATTTAATTAGGTGTGTGAATTTTTTCTTAATGAGAATGTGAGGCAATGTGGTATATAGGGTAGAAAAATCAAAACTTTGAACAGATTCAAAATCACCAATATATGCATGCAATTTATAAAGTACTTCCAACGAGTTTTATATACTTTTAAATGACATTTTAGTTTTTGTTTACATGAATATAGATACCTCAGCTAGCATCACTGAATTTTTAATGTTGCGATCAACATTTTATCCGTAAAAAAAGTACCGGAGTATTTTAGTATTGTATGTTTACACACACAACACATGTTTCTAGAATAACCATCACTTGAGACAAAACCTATGGAAAGCCAAATACATAAAAAGGTTTGAATGCATAAAACCAAATCGGTCTGTAAATATGCTGCCACAAGATTTATTATACAGCAGTATTTCACATCCTCCAGCTGTAGTGAACATATCTACATTGTATATCATTTTGGAACTGTATCATATGTCTTATGCCTTTGTTCCATACAGAGGATACCCTGAATTTTGCATGATACTGTTTGGATAGTCCTTTAAAGTTATTTCTCACTTTGTTACGATCAAATGGGGAAAAAAATTAACTGCATTTTTGGTTCTGATTGATTGATTGTGAAGTGTCTTCCATTTATATCAAGTCTAAATGTTTTGAACTAAAAGAGAAAGACGAATATGATACACTATACATGTATGTATACTGTGGACACCAATATACATTGATTGAGGAAATATGGTATTATCTGGACCATGTGTTGTTCATTATTGTTTGCACTATTTTTAGAAATCCAGTCAAGTGCTGGAGGTTAGTGTCATTTGTCGTACTGTCCAATATTTTTGGCAATTCCTGAATTCCATTTTATGTATTACATGTATTTGAGTTCCTAACATATTTGGCCTATTTCGGAAAATGTGACCAAATTATGAAGTCTACAGATGGCTTTATAAGATCCTGTCTTCTTGTACTTTTTATATGTTGCTAATGAAATCTACTATGACGTACAGCAACCCATATTTGAGTGTTAGACAACATGATTTAATATCAACAGCTTTAGTACTTTTGAGTTTGTTTTCAGTAATTGAAAGCAGTTTAATATGGTATTTGCTTCCTTTTTTTTGTACGTGTAATTTTGTTTTGTAAACTGTTTACATAAGTTGTGCTTTTCTTGTAATGCTTTTTACCGAATGTTCTTTATAATGATTTGTTAGTTTATCAGTACAGATCGAGATTAAAATGGTGAGGGATGAGATCTCAAAATACTAGTTTAATCCTGCCATTTGTTCTGTCACCTTTTCTCAAGTTTGGAAACTTGTCTGTGATTTTTTTTTTGTCATTTATAACTATAGTTGAAGACTTTTCTTTTGTCATTGGGTTGCTGTCTCATTGACAAATATAACTTATATTTCCTTTGAGACTTTTATTCAAATCAAAACTGTAATTTTAATGGATTTTGACAATTTTTTTGTATTTTCCACAAAAGAAATATGAAGAATTCATAGAAAAAATAAATGTGGATAGTGTCCACATGTGGACACAGATGATGCCACCGCTTGCATATCATATAGTTATAAAGGGACATAACTGAAGAACAATAAAAGTGACGCTACCCAAATTTGAACTTGATCTGAGTTTTGTGGTAATAAGCATTGTGTGTAAGTCTCATAACATTTGGTTGAGGCTAACTGAAGTAGAGAACAGAAACTAAAAATTCAGCAATTTTTCTATTTGTAAACATGCATAACTCTAGAACGGTTGTGTGTAAGTTTTATAACATTTGGTAGAAACAAACTAAAAAATTCAGCAATTTTTATGTTTATAAAGGGACATAACTCAAGAATGGTAAAAATGTCGCTACCAAATTTCGTACTTAATCTGTATTATGTAGTAATAAGCATTGTGTATAAGTTTCATAACATTTGGTTGAGGCAAACTAAAGTTAGAAAACGGAAACAAAAAAATTTGTGGTAATGAATATTGTGTATAGGTTTCATAATGTTTGGTTGGGGCAAACTTAAGTTAAAGAATGGAAACTAAAAATTTTGCAATCTTTCAACTTATAAAGGGGCATAACTCAATAATGGTTAAAGTGACACTACCCAAATTTAACCGTTGATCTGTGTTTTATCAGTGGAAGTCAAAATTAAACATTGCATTGTATAAAGCATTGATTGTAGTTAATTCAACTATAATCATGGACAAACTCCAATTTTAATAAAATGCTTCGCTGGGCGCAGCTTGATACGACCACAGAGGTCGAACCCTGAACAGTTGGGGCAAGTATGGACACAACAGTCAATCTTGATGCAGCTCTGAATTTGGATTGTGATTAAATATTTGACACAGCATAGGTTTCTGACACAGAAAGAATGTGGTCTAAGAACTTGATTTTTTTTAATTTACCTATTATGGTCCAATGTCCAAAATCAAAATACATGGTTAGATTCAGCATATCAAAGAACCCCATATATTCAATTTTTGTTGAAATCAGACAAAAGTTTAATTTTGGACCCCAACTTGGACAAACTTGAAAACTGGGCCCATAATCCAAAATCTAAACACATGTTTAGATTCAGCATATCAAAGAACCCCAAGAATTCAATTTTTGTTAAAATCAAACTAAGTTTAATTTTGGACCCTTTGGACCTTAATGTAGACCAATTTAAAAAACGGGACCCAAAATTAAAAATCTAAAAACACGGTTAGATTTGGCATATCAAAGAACCCCAATAATTCAATTTTTGATGAAATCAAACAAAGTTTAATTTTGGACCCTTTTGACCTCAATATGAACCAATTTGATAGCTGACCCACAAATAAAAAATCTAAATACATGGTTAGATTCATCATATCAAAGAACCCCATATATTCAATTTTTGTTGAAATCAAACAAAGTTTAATTTTGGACCCAAACTTGGACCAACTTGAAAACTGGGCCCATAATCAAAAATCTAAACACATGTTTAGATTCAGCATATCAAAGAACCCCAAGAATACAATTTTTGTTAAAATCAAACTAAGTTTAATTTTGGACCCTTTAGACCTTAATGTAGACCAATTTAAAAAACAGGACCCAAAATTAAAAATCTAAATACACTGTTAGATTTGGCATATCAAAGAACCCCAATTATTCAATTTGATGAAATCAAACGAAGTTAAATTTTGGACCCTTTTGACCTCAATATGAACCAATTTGATAGCGGGGTCCACAAATAAAAAATCTAAATACATGGTTATATTCAGCATATCAAAGAACCCCATATATTCAGTTTTTGTTGAAATCAAACAAAGTTTAATTTTGGACCCTAATTTGGACCAACTTGAAAACTGGGCCAAAAAACAAAAATCTAAATACATGTTTAGATTCAGCATATCAAAGAACCCCATATATTCAATTTTTGTAAAAATCAAACAAAGTTTAATTTTGGACCCTTTGGACCTTAATGTAGACCAATTTGAAAACTGGACCCAAAATTAAAAATCTAAATACACGGTTAGATTTGGCATAACAAATAAATAAATGTGGTCAAAGATTTTACAAATCTAATGCGCCATACTGTGCAATTAAAGATTACTTCTTGAAATTTTTCAATATTTGAAATTTGAAAAAAAAATAATATTTGAAGAATAATTCTTTTTAATTTCTGAAATCTGAAATGAGAAAAAATTGACCCCCACAATTTCTTTTTACCCCCCCCCCCCCCTTTTTTCCCCCCAAAAAATTCTTTCCCTCAAGATATGGTCATAATCTCAATTCAAATTTCCAATGGAGTTTGCAACCATAATTACCCATTTAAATTTACCATAGTGCTAACTTAATCTATTTTATAATAGAATTTATAATATAGTGTCAAATCTTTCAGATGGATTTTTTTGTAAAAAAAAAAGATGCAACATTTGCAGATATTTTTACTGGTCTTCCTTTATAAATATGCATTTCTTTAAACATAATTTAAAAGCAGTGTAAGGGAAGTAACCAAAACGTTGTATTTGGATTACCTCCCTTACACTGTTTTAAATTATCTTAATTGTTCATTAACCATTACTTTATACATAATTTAAAAGCAGTGTAAGGGAGATAATTTCAATGATGTATTTGATTTATCTCCCTTACACTGCTTTGAATTATGTTTTGTACTAAAGTATTTGTCCATTACCCAGGACAACCTTGTTTTCCCCCCTTTTTTGCCCCTAATTCCTAAACAGTTTGAGCCATAACCCCCCAAAACAAATCCTTACCATCCCTTTGTGGTATGGAAACTTGAAGTATAATTTCAGAGAGATCCATACACCATTCCACAGTTATTGTCTGGAAACTAGAAAATGCTTATTTTTGGCCCCTAATTCCTTAACTGTTGGTACCATAACCCCCAAAATCAATCCCCACCTTCCTTTTGTGGTATTGAACCTTATGGTAAAATTTCAAAGAGATCCATTCACTTAAACTAAAGTTAGAGTGCGAAAACCAATGTGTCTTCGGATGACGACAACGACGACGACGACAATGACGCCAACGTCATACCAATATACGACCGCAAAAATTTTTTGCGGTCATATAAAAATTACTTGATATTTAGAAGAAAATAAAAATTTTGCAATTTTTCCATTTATAAAGGGGCATAACTCTAGAACGGTTACAATGACACCACCAAAATTCAAACTTGATCTGTGTTTTGTGGTAATAAGCATTGTGTATAAGTTTCATAACATTTGGTTGAGGCAAACTCAAGTTAGAGAACGGAAACCAATTTTGGGACGTACGGACGTACATACGTACGTACGTACAGACTGACAAGGGTAAAACTTAATGCCCCCACCGCTACGGGGGGGGCATAATTATATCTGAACAAAAGCTACATAATGTCATTCAGATACAAATTAATTGATTTTGGTTGATAGTGACCTTCAATGCATACAAAAAACAAGTATAATTTTCAATATTGGAACAAATTGTCTCTAACAAAAGAGTTTAGCTTTGGAAGTTTTGAATGTATGTAAAATCATTGAAAAAGTTTTGAAGTATATTGGTTGGTTTCTCAAATATATATACATTCCAGTAGATATTAAACAAATTTTTGATTATCACTCTGTGAGTGAAACATATTCCAGGGAAGTTGGCCATTCCTCTAGATGATCTGTTAAAAAATAATTTTAGAGAAAGAGATCATTTCTGTACTGTATCTTTTTTCTGACATCTCCAGCATTGAGCGTACTAAATTTAGACCTGTTAGATGCTTTTGATTTTATTTGACCCACTACTGACTTTTTTATGTAATTTTGATAAAAAAATTAATGGAGAATGTGTCCCCATGGACACAGATGATGCCCCCTCTTGCATACAACATTATAAAGGGACATAACTCAAGAACAACCAGCCACCCGCCGTACATCACCATTTTAATAACCGATATTTCCTTCGAAAATCCGGTTAATAAAAGTGACACTACCCAAATGTGTACTTGATCTGAGTTTTGTGGAAATAAATATTGTGTAAAGATTTCATAATGTTTGGTTGGGGCAAACTTAAGTTACAGAACAGAAACTAAAAATTTAGCAATTTTTCCATTTATAAAGGGGCATAACTCTAGAACGGTTAAAGTGACGCCACCAAAATTCAAACATGGCCTGTGTTTTGTGGTAATAAGCATTGTTTATAAGTTTCATAACATTTGGTTGAGGCAAACTCAAGTTAGAGAACGGAAACCAATTTTGGGACGTTCAGATGTACAGATGGACAAGGGTAAAACTTAAGTTAGAGAATGGAAACTAAAAATTTTGTGCAATTTTTCCATTTATAAAGGGGCATAACTCTAGAACGGTTAAAGTGAGCCCACTAAAATTCAAACTTGATCTGTGTTTTGTGGTAATAAGCATTGTGTATAAGTTTCATAATATTTGGGTGAGACAAACTTAAGTTAAAGAATGGAAACCAATTTTGGGACGTACGGACGTACGTACAGACGTACAGATGGACAAGGGTTAAACTTAATGCCCCCTCTGCTACCGCGGGGGCATAAAAAAAAATGGGGAGTGTGTCCCATGGACACAGATGCCCCACTTGCATATAATGTTATAAAGGGACATAACTCAAATACAGAGTTTTGTGGTAATAACAATTGTGCATAAGTTTCATAGCATTTGGTTGAGGCAAACTTTAAGTTAGAGAGCAGAAACTAAAAATTCAGCAATTTTTCAATTTGTAAAGGGGCATGGTTTTACACTAGTCATTTTTGGAGCCCTTTATAGCTTGCTTTTCGGTGTGAGCCAAGGCTCCGTGTTGAAGCCTGTACTTTGACCTATAATGGTTTACTTTTACAAATTATGACTAGGATGGAGAGTTGTCTCATTGGCACTCATACCACATCTTCTTATATCTAATGAAAGAACCTTAGTGAGCGCGCTCACATACCCCATGTCCCCACATTGTCATTGGAGAAATAAAATAAGTGTAAGAAAAAAAAATTGTATCAGAAAAAAAAATTGAATCATAATTTCCTGTCAATATGCACATCTACATAGTATGTCCTTATTATCTACACAGTTTCATGAAATTCTGTTCTGTGGTTTGAGAGGAGTTGCGATGACAAAAGGTTGCAGTAGTATATTGGGCAAATAAGTTCAAAGGAGCGTAACTCCTGGAAAAAAAATTGAATCGTAATTTCCTTTCGATATGCACATCTACCTAGTATGTCCTTATTATCTGAAAAGGTTTCATGAAATTCTGTTGTGTGGTTTGAGAGGAGTTGCAATGACAAACTGTTGCAGTAGTACATTAAAGTAAATAAGTTCAAAAGGGCGTAACTCCTAGAAAAAGAATTGAATCGTAATTTCCTGTTGATATGCACAACTACATAGTATGTCCTTATTATCTAATAAAATGCTTCGCTGGGGCGCAGCTTGATACGACCGCAGAGGTCGAACCCTGAACAGTTGGGGCAAGTATGGACACAAAATTCAAGCTTGATACAGCTATGACTTTGGATTGTCATTAAATATTTGACACAGCATAGGTTGAATGTGGTGTAAGAACTGGAAAAAATTTAATTTACCTATTATGGTGGAATATCCATAAACTAAATTGTTTGTTAATTTCAATATATCAAAGAATATGTAGAATTCAATGTTTGATGTAATGTAATAAAGTTGAAATTTGGACCGTTTTTGTTCAATGTGGACCAATTTGGTAACATGTATAAATAATCAAAAATCTAAATACATGGGAGCCCATTTAAATACATCATAAAGGTATTAAAATAGAAAGTGACATCATAGTCATGGCTAAAAATAAACAAAAATCCTTAATCAGCAACATTTAAAGTAATATCTAAAAATAAAATTCCTTTGTAACCATAAAAGCCCATTTAAATACATCATAAAGATATTAAAATAGAAAATGACATCATAGTCATGGCTAAACATAGCAAAAAACCCTTAATCAGCATCATTTAACAGTAATATCTAAAAATGGAAATTACATCATAAAGGTATTAAAATAGAAAATGACATCATAGTCATGGCTAAAAATAAACAAAATCCTTAATCAGCATCAGCAACATTTTATAGTAATATCTAAAAATAAAATTCCTTTGTAACCATAAAAGCCCATTTAAATACATCATAACAGATATTAAAATAGAAAATGACATCATAGTCATGGCTAAACATAGCAAAAACCTTAATCAGCATCATTTAACAGTAATATCTAAAAATAAAAATTTCTTTGCAACCATAAAAGTAAAATAGAAAATGACATCATAATCATAGCTAAAAATAAACAAAAATTTTTTTTATTGGCAAATTTTAAATGGAGTTTATTATACTAAAACAATAAATTTGCAACCATAAACATGATAAAACCCCATTTAAACACATCATAAAAGTATTAAATAATTCAACTACATCATAAGGCTATAAAAATAGAAAATGACTTCATAGTCAAGGCTAAAGGTAAACAAAAAACCTTCATCAGCAAAATTTTATATTGGCAAATTTCCAATGGAGTTTATTACACTAAAATTGTTGGCAAATTTCCAATGCATTTATTAACAATAAAGTTATTGGCAAATTTCCAATTTACATAATTTAAAAGCAGTGTAGATGAGATATTTAAATGAGTTTGAATTACCAACCTTACACTGCTTTTAAATAATGTTCTTTACTCAATTATTTGTCTATTAAAATGGAAACCCTTGTTTTTTAACCTTTTTTCCCCTTATTCCTTAAACATTAGAGCCATAACCACCCCCCCCCTCAAAGCCAATTATTACTTTCCAATGTAACCTAAATTTCCAATATACATAATTTTAAATTTCAGTTCCTCATGATATATAACCGTATCATTATTATTTTCTTTCATATATAAATCTGAAACAACCATCTTTAAATGGAAAATTTTAAAGAAAAAAAAAAATCCTACCCCCCACACATTTTTTCAACCCCCTTTTGATTCATCATCCCTCACCTCAATCACAACCTTCAATTTGTGGTATGGTACATTGCAATACAATTTCACAGAGATCCATACACTTGAACACAAGTTTTTGTTGCAAACTAAAAAAATCCTTATTTTCGACCAATATTTGGCCCCTTATTCATAAATGTTTGAGCAATTAACCCCAAAACTCAATTCCTACTTTCTCTTCGTGATAAAAAATAACTAACTTAAAATGTAAATTTTAAACAAAAAAAAAAGGAAAAAAAAAAATTACCCCTTTTTTGACCCCCGCCCCCCTTATGATTCATCACCCCCACCCCCCTTTCCCCCGAAACCAAGCTCAATAACAGCCTTGCCTTTGTGGTATGGTACCTTGTAATACAATTTTAGAGAGATCCATACACTTGAACACAAGTTATTGTCTAGAAACTAAAAAATGCTTATTTTAAACCCCTTTTTAGGCCCCTTATTACTAAACGTTTTGGGAAATTACCACAACACTCAATTCCAGCTTTCCCTTTGTGAAATGGAACCTTGTAGTAAAATTTCAGAAAGATCCATACACTTACACACAAGTTATTGTCATGAAACTAGAAAAATGCTTGTTTTTTGCCCCCTTTTGGCCCCTTATTCCTAAAATTTTGAGGCAATTAACCCCAAAATCAATCCCAGCATTGACCCTTTGTGATATGGAATCTTGTGGTACAATGTCAAAGAGATCCATATGCTAACA